CAGAGAAGAATCCAGTTATTTTCGAAGGGCAGAAAAGATCCCAATTAGCTTCACAACGAAGAAGCTGGAGCTACAGCAAGCATAGTGTTCACATACTGTAAGAAATGGGGTTTTCCAAGCCATTTATCTTGCATAGGCCGTGAGAGTAATACTGAAATTTCTGCCATTTCCATAGCATGTAGTCTATTAGGTCCACCCATCTTAAACAGACCATAGCTTACATTTTTCTTGTATTTCTTTTTTTTCTTCTGAGGTCTGCTTATTGATGTTTGTGTGGTTTTATGTACCAAAAAGAGCCATAAATCTTTTAATGTGACCATTTTGAACCTCTTTGTAGGTTGTATGTATAGAATTAAACATGCTATTTTTGTCACTGTGCTTTTAAGATTGATGTAGTTTGCAGTTTAGGTTCTAGAGATGGACTGTATGTACCAAGAAATTAATGATACAGGTAAAATGTATTAACAGTATTTACACACAGTTTAAATAAGTAAGGAAATATTGTTTTTCTAAGATACAGGCCTTTAAAACTACATCACATAGCTACTTATTATAGGACCAGTTGAATTATTTTTTATGATTGTATGTGCTGTAAAGATGGTTGTTCGTAGTGGGGAGAGGGAAAAGCTGGCATGGTGAAAAAAGCTCAATTGTGGTAGAAAACCAAGCAGCATCCAGCCAGTTTGGACCAGATGGTATTGTGAGCCAGCACTAAATTGCTAGTGCGGGTGCTGTTCCAGGCAGCATGAGGCGCGTTGCTGTGGTAGCATCTGTCCCTGCTCTCTCTCACATGACACTTCCACTGAGGGAGGAAGAACGAATAGATCTAAATTCAACAGCAGAGCCTTGAGCATCCCTCCGAGACATTGAGAGTAGCTGAGAATGCTCTCCTGGTCCATGAGGTAGAATGCAAGAGAATTTTTCATATGGAATTAGTCTGCATATGTTCAAGTTTTCTGCAATTAAGTGGTATTCAGCAAAAGAAAATCATAGCATGTTCATTATATGTGGAGTCTTGCATGTTATTGTCCTTTGATGCTTTTTAATGAGAAATCTATTAACACTATGGCATGACCAACAGTTTAGCTAAAGGGTCTCCTTTTTTCTAGCTGTGTTGCCCCCAGTGTGACCTCTGCTTGACAGTAGGCCAGAGGCTCCTGATGGCTTTGGCTGCTTAGAGAACTTGCGCAGTAGGACAATATCATGGTGCCAGAGTTATTGAGTCACATTCATTTTTAAACAGACTGTCTTGATGAAAGTCTTCAGCGGAATCACAGCAGAATTACTATAATGTTGAATGTCTACATGCTGCAGTAATGTTGGAACTGTGTTTCCATTAACATGACCTCCCAACTGGACCTCACATTCTTATGAAAGCAGAGAATGCTTTCAGTTTTGGTCTCTTATGTATGAGACCATTTACTCAAGAAACCTTACCACAACATCTGCCTCCAGAAAAACTCCGCCCCATAAGCAATGGCTCCATTTTTTTCCCAAATGTCTGAAACTGTTTAAGATGCTTTGAAGGTTTTGTGATATTAGTATTGCAAAAGTCAATGTTGCAATAAGGATTTACAAACAATATATTGTACAGCCCTACTAGTAACCAGTAAGGATTTCAAAAACAAGACATTTAAAACTTAGCGGTGCTGAATTATCTGCCATTTTCCTTTTACATTTTCAAAGTAACGTCCGACCTAGAGTGAGTTAATGAGTTAACCTGAAGAGGGCACCAATTCACTTATAGTGTTGTACCAACGTGAGCTGAGGAGATAGAAAAAGAAAAAGAACAATTATGGCCAAAAGTTAAATAAGAAGTCAAATCTGGGAGCATTGCCGTAAAATGAATTCTAAAATAGTCCAACGTATGCTAGTTTGACTTAGCTGTCCACGGATGCGCAACATTACCTTACCATAAGAAAACATGCTTAAAACAAGCATAAGACATACCATAAAACATACCATAAGAAAACGTTGGTGTTTTGACAAACCAGACTACTCTGTGAGGATGCACAGTTCGCACTGTAAGTAATTCATCAAAATGAGCTAACATTACCCTTACAAAAATCATTAAAGCTTATCATTTTACAATTCTAACATTAGTCACTGGAATATTCTAAGCTGTGTATGTTTCTAGTAATTAGATGTATTTAGCAGGCTACTTTAAAAAAATACGAAACATTCTGCAGCTCGTCCCATTATAGCATTACATACATTAGCTAGCTAACTATGTGCAACTGGTTAATTAGCTTAAAATACAACTTGTTTTATAAACAAAGTTTTCACATGAAAAAAACGCCATCCCCTCATACTGGAAACCTTTTAATACACAGTTAATCTAGTGAATTAGCTTGTAAAAGTGTTAAACCGGTTAAATGATGCTGCAGCCTGAAGAGCTACAACGTTAATTTACATATTAAATATTATGTCACTTATTTTTAGTTATTGTTTATTAGTTTAGTTAGTTTAGTTTAGTGTGGTTTATGGGCAGGCTTAAACAAAGCGCCACATTTTAATCCATGGAGGAATGATTTAGCTCTTGGTGAACAGTACCTCAGTTTGTCAGAACATTGGCAGACATTTTATTGTTATAGCTCTTCATGTTTACAGGCCACATTCAAGCTGATTAATAAATTAGTCGATAGATTCACATGAATTTAATTACTTATATTTTTTTTACAGCTCTAAACCCGAGTAATGCATCACTGACTAGTATAAAGAAATACCCTACTGTACCTTGTCAGACTCCTAGGGTTCATTTGAGGTCTAAGTGAAACACAGTGTGATATTATTGGTCTGCCTGCTATCAGCCTGCTGGTGTACAGTGACACAATCCAAACTCAAAAGAAGTTTTAGAGGCAGGCAAAAGTCACTACACTTCAATCAAAGATTATAGGTAAACAAGACTTTTGTCTTTTAAACAATATAAGATGAGTCAATTTGGAAAAAAAAAGTTGATTTAGGCCATGTCTTTAAGCCTTATTTACAGTTTTTTAGGTCTCATGCTTTTTTTTACTAGTGTAGACAGTACATTACAAGCTTGCCATATATCCATCTCCATAACGGAAAGAGTTTGGAAACAAAGGCCAAATCCACTGAAATGACATACAGACCAAGTCTCCCTGACACACAGACATCTGAATCTAGAGGCTTGTGTATGTTTGATTTTTCATATCTGCAAAATCAAGTTTGCATGGCCAAAATGAGTTTTGCATCGATCGTTCCCCTCGCGCACAGGTATGGGGCGTGGCAATCGCTGTGCTTTGAAGATATTTAGCTCTAATTAAGTTTACCCCTGGAGAGCGGGAGAAGAGAGGGAGATGAGATGAAAACCTCACGGCACAGTGAGAGATTCACAGCAATCAATTTTGTTGTTCGAGAGTTAGTGGCGCTCTCTGGAGCACGGAGGGGAAAGCTCAGTGCCTGGGTGTAAATGAGTGTGGGTGTGCGTATGTGACATCTTTTTGCGTTTGTTGTGTGGGGAAGAGAAAAGTTTGACTTATTTGCTATGAAGATTATTGTAGAGCATAGATAGCTGATCATGAGGCCAGTTAGCTGCCAGACTATTAGCTCTCTCTGTGCTGTTAAATGAACGGTTGTCTATGGACACAATGTGAACGTGTTTCCAAAAAGTACTGATTTGAAGAAAGATTATGTGATATCTTGTATCTTTGTTTTAATGCAGTGCCTTGTTGATGAAGTTGAAACACCCCGAATTACATATTTTGTTGATAAGCGAAAATAACACGTCCTCTACAGGGTACAAACTTAAATAGGGTATTTTCTGCAAATGTTAGTGCACAATGTCTGTTTATTTAAACAGTGGCTTCAGTAGTGCACCCTCTGTCACATATCTAGGTTGTAAATGGGGTATAGCAGGGTAAGGAATGCATACTGAGCTCCCTATGCAGTGAGTGGAAGACTTCTGTATCCTTTCTTTCACTGAATGAACATGGTAATGACATTAGGGGGTAACCTGCAACTTTTATTTGAGCACTTGTGCACTGGCTGCTAAGTAAGGTAATTTGGGGTAAGGATCAGTTTTACATGTTCTTGCCCTGTACGTGTTACCAGTCCAGCAGTACGCCCTTCTCCAGTTCTGTACAGTCAGGAGTGCTTGGCCATGTTTTTTTTTTACTGTTGTTTAAAATAACAAGGGCACAAAGAGATGCTTTGCTGGTTCTTCAGTCGTCCGAATTGCGGCTCCTTCATGTTTGATATCAGGAGCTTTGAGAAATAGAGCATGAGGACGGTACAGCGCTGTGGGTCTGCTCTTGTTTTTGTGCTGTACATCCATTTGACTATTTTAGGAGGCATCTCTTGATTTCTTTGGTTCTGCCGACAATTTCAGAAAGGAAAAATGCTGTTAAGAGCTGTTCCCATTAGCAGATGAATACACTTCAAACCCTCAAAAGAAATAAAGGTATCATAAGAACCTGCTTTTAATAAGAGTTAAAAGAATAAGTGGACAGCAAGTAGATGCAGTGTAGATAGTTCAGAAATGTGAGAGTTACACACGCGCACACACACACACACACACACACACACACACACACACACAGTCATATGTAAAAGTTAGGGCAGACCTGGTCAAGTTACTGTTCTGTTTTTCCTAATTGAAAATAGGTATATATCCTTTACAGAGAGCACACCTCTGCACATTTTAATGCATAATTCCTGTTTACTTGCTTAATTTAATATTTGGGGAAAAAAATAAAATACAAAACGTCACCTGTGCAAATGTCATGGCACATTTTATGTTTTATCTTATGAGGATGTTTTAACTAACTTTCTTTTCGGAAATCAACAAAAAGAAAATGAAAAAAAAAATGTAATTTTACTGTGGCATTCAACTGTATATTTTACCAATTAAATTCAATATTAATTGGCTTGATTGTATCAAGTACAGTTTTACCAAAATAATAGTAACTGTGTTCATAATAATAATAGTAGTAATAATAATTGCAATTTCCCTCTTCCTCTCGTCTTGTCTCTTTCAGGTGTGTAAGGTTCTGAACACTACCACTATGAGCTGTTTTGCTCCATCTCTGACAGCAGAGTACAGACCTGGGCTGGACTCAGTAAAACACGCAGACGAGTTTGGCTTCATCTTCAATAATGTGCAGGCTCTGCTGGTGTACAACAACACCAACTTCCTGTACTACCCCAACCCCTACTTCGAGCCTCTCAGCACCAACGGGATTCTGGAGCAGAAGCCAGGCTCGCCCATTATCTTGAAGGTAGCACTATATTCATCACACTTGATGTGAATTATGTCCTTTTAACAGTGCGATCATATCAGCAAGAGTCCAGCTCCTGCAGTACAGCATAGTGTAGCTTTTGTGTGGATATGAGCTTGCGTCCATGATAAATAGTATGTCGGTAGTGACTAGGTTTGCACATTCTGGAGAAAATATCGACTAAATAGATCAGAGTCAGAATTGAAAATACATTTTGGACTTTTAAGTGACCTTGACTTTAGACTAAAAGCATTTTGCTTTGAGTGACTCTATGACTTAATTAAGTTCATTTTATTAATATTAGTAATTGCACATTCCATTTCGTCACTGTTAATACACACCTCTGAAATTTTACCAAATGCTTCAGTAGTGACTGTTTTGTTAGTGACAATTTTAGCTTATTTTGAACTCAAAAATGTGTATGTGACTACCAGATTCATCTTTGAATAGTTGTACGTGCATAAAATCATAATAAACTTTATTAAAACTTAAAAACGTTTACCTAATTGCGGCGAATATGTATTTCAGTAGTGACAATTCTGAAGTTTACACACTGATTTACAGACTCTGGGACACATTTACTTCATAACAGTGGGATCTAACTGCAGTAAGGGACAGGACTGCAGTCCCACTTCCTATTCTAAAAAGCAGGGGTGTGGCTAGTTTTAGTCTATGGCCTGCTCTAAAAAGCAGGGATGTGGTTACTTTTCGTCCACCCATGGACTAAAACTTTTTTGTGTTTTGGTAGTTACATGAAAAAGTGGGGCTTCACTTTAAAAGAAATTCTAAAAAATTGACAAGATTAAAGTAATTTTAAAAAGTCTTTAAAAAACATTGAAAAAATTAATGTAAGTATTATTTTGTGTATATTTAGCACATTACCATCTCAATTAATTCCTTGGGTTTAAATAGATCACAACATAATCCTTGTAAATATCTGTCTGAAGCAAGCGATCTTACTAACATGCTAATTATCATGCATGTTAGTCTGCTCATAAAAACACTTTTTTATACCAATCATATCAATAGAAAAGCAGGCCTTCACCGTTGGCTACAGTCATTGAGTTGAGTTGGGTCAAAATTAGCATGACATAAACAAAAAGCAAAAAGTTTAGCTTGTTTTTACTAGCAGCACCACACTTGCTAGTTAATATTTGTAATTAACTCTTTGCCTGTAGATATATATTGGAAAAAAATGCAATGTGAACCCTCAAGAAAAAAGTCTGTATAAACAGTGTGACCTCCTACTTTGCAATATTAGTATTTTGATATTGTTGCAAAAATGTTATTGTGAAAAATTATTAACAAACCATATTGTGTAGCCCTTCTGGTGACCTACAATCAGTGTAAAAACTAATGTGTGAGACATTTTTACTGCACGTTTACTGACTATTGTGATGGTGGAGATAGACCTTGAGATATTGTTATATATCTTTTAAAATAACCCAACATCTGTGTGTGTGTCTCAGGGGAAAAACCTGGTTCCCCCAGCATCAGGTGGAGTGAAGCTGAACTACACGGTGCTTCTAGGAGAGACCCCCTGCTCAGTCACTATCTCAGACACCCAGCTGCTCTGTGAGCCCCCCAACCTTACTGGCCAGTACAAAGTCATGGTAAGAGAGTTTACTACTACTGTAGCTGCTGCGCACAGTTTTCTTTGTAGTTATAGTTCTTGCTTGTTTTGTAAAGTGTGAAGACTGTGTATTGAGTAATCAAAAGTGTAAAGTCGTTTCTTGCTGCATATGTTATGGTTCAGTCGGCCGGATGAAGTGGGTCAGACCTGCATCACAACTACACAGCTTTTAAGGCTTAATGAAGAGCAGAAAGCAATTATTAGACATAATAGTTATCATTAAGCAAGATCCGTTTTTATATGAGCAACTTACACATCTCTGCTACCAATTAAACCATAAACTTTGTTTCAGACGGAATTTGTGAAAGCGACAGGAGTGAAAATGTTACAACTTGCTCCATAATTGAAGTGAAATATAACAGACTGATGGGCTAATTCTACAGTAGAGCAATAATAGTCATTAAACTGCTGGATGAATTACGTGTCTCTAAATGATTAGTGAAAAGAGTCTGTGTCAAACATCAGCAAATATCAGCAAAATAAAATTGAAATTCATTATATTCACAAGACATCTATAGGTTCTGATGAATGGGTGTGCATAAAAACTTAAAAAGAATAACTTGTTTTGAATATATATAGGGAGCTATTGATTTCCTGTAGAGAGTCCATAGCTCTCTATATATACCCGATGGGAGCTGTGTACCACTTCGTTACAACTAAGCCCTGCCATGTGGAGCCTGTGCTTAAACATGGCCAGCTCTCACTGTAAGTTAGGTACTTCAAACGAGTAAATATTACAAACAAGAAGAGGCTGACGATAATATAGGTGTGAATTCTGTAACTTGTACAGTATATTTAGAAACGGAAAAAGACATAAAATATCTGTCTGATTATTATGAAAATTCACAGTTGACATTTCTGTGGGAATATGAGAAGGAATCTAAAAAGTACCTTCTTCTTGGACCTGTTTAACTACATTAAATGTCCATGTTGCATTTCAACCAACATTCGTTTTTGCCTCACTCTATTATTGAATTACTGACTAATAACAGTTAGTTGGAAACAATCAAAAACATAAAGCAACATTGCTAATAATTAAAACATAATTAGTCAGATAAGTGAATAATAGTCGATAGGTTAATTTATTATGGTGTTTGTATTCTGTGGGTGACAGTTTTTAATCTATTTTTGAATGTAGGCTACATTCTGACAGTTTGTATCTTTCTGTGTGTTTACTGTCTCAGGTGCAGGTGGGTGGTCTTCATGTCTCTCCTGGCTCCGTAAACATCCTGTCAGACAGTCTCCTGACTCTGCCCGCCATCGTGAGCATCGCAGCAGGTGGTGGCCTTCTCCTCATCATTGTCATCCTCGTCCTCATTGCCTACAAACGCAAATCCAGAGAAAACGACCTCACACTCAAACGGCTGCAGATGCAGATGGACAACCTGGAGTCCAGGGTCGCGCTGGAGTGCAAAGAAGGTGAGAAGACTGATTACACACATGTTCATAAACATAAGTGCAGCATTATTCTAAACTTACACTAATCTGAACTTACACAAGTGTGCATCATATTCCAGACATAAATTCAGCATCTTTCACTTTCTTTAGTACCACCTCTTTCAAGCACTCACCTGAAATGTCCTCCCGAATCACAGTGCCGCTCCGTTTGGCCCTATTTTCAGACGCTCAATTTCACCTCACTTACAGTAGTCTTCTGCGGCTAATGATGTAGCTAAATGACACATATTGAGCCTTCAGCCATGGGTGATGTAATGCACACGCAAGCTGCTCATTGAGCTCTGTTTGTATTGAAGTGAGCTTTATCATGAGGTCAGGCTGAACCAGTGTGTAGCACTGATGACCTGTAGTGGACCAATAAACCATTCTGTATTTTGTGAAGTCTGTGACTAGTGCTGTGAGAGGAATCCAAATTACAGTGTGCCATGCTTAGGGCAGATGTGTATGCCTGGATCGGTGATGGAGAGTTTTTATGTGTATGTGTGTGTTTGAGAGACAGAGTGAAAGTTTGTGTTTGTGTAAGCGTGTGTGCTTTGAGAAAAAGGAAGAAAAAGAGAGCATGAGAGAGAGAGACTCCCTGAGGGTAGAGTGCTGCTCAGTCAGAATGGACCCAATTAAAGCCGCCTCACCTCTGGTCTCCATCAGCAGGGGACACACACTACAGCACACAGTCAATTTATTAACGGTGCACATGTGTGTGTGTGTGTGTGCTTCTGTGTGTGTGTATAACATGGAGTCTACTAGTCTGAGTCTGAGACCACACTGAAAATCCGATTTTATTATTTTATTTTCGTTTAAACCTGGAAATAAGCAACAGAACATTTCAGATTTTTGAAATAAAACACAGAGAACAAGTAAAATGAAGATTACAAAATGGGTAATTTCAGTCCTAAAACACATGTGATCGCCTCACAGTAAGGGAATTCAAATTCTGTATTACTTCACCAAGTCTTGAAAAACCCTTGTGCTGTTAATGAAATACCTCCAAGTGTATTGATGAAGAACCCAGAGTTGTTTAAACTGAGGGGCTGATAACTTATTTTCTTAAGTAGAACTAGGCTGATTAGATAACTAACAGACTAAAAGATGCTCAACAACTCTTCCATTAATATCACAGGCTTTGAAAGTCCTTACTACATGATCAGTTTTAGTCAGATCTGCCTGAAGCAGCATCAGACCCAGGCTGAATTTCAAATGGCTTCCTCCTTCCTATATAAGATGCTAAGTAAGTTATGGAATTCTGGCTTCTACACCAAAATAGTGCACTGTTTGTTTAGTTTAGAATTTTTGCGCAAGTGGCTGAATCCTAAGTGGCTATTTGTTAGACAGGGAGAAGGTAGCCATTTGAGCCATTTGAAGTAACATCCTTACTAACAATAAAATCACTGGCACACGTGGCCTCTCATGGCCTATTGCTTTAATAAATATTAAAGAATCTATGGCATTTTAAGCTCACTTTTCAAATCTAAGCAAATTTATGACATTGACCATGTTAACTCCTCTGGACAAAAATATCATTTTTTTTTGTACAGTTTGAAAATTGTCACAATACTAGTGAAACTACATTTACCAGTTGCTAAACAGTAGGGATTTTAAGCATGCAAGGTTGCTACACCAAACAATAAGAACTGTACTGTTTTCCACACCTACACATTTGACTCACGTCTTCTTACCCTGTTCGGCCATAGCCCAGCTGTTGGTCTTCTGTCAAGCAAAGACAATGGCATGGTACAAGGTTTAGCTTATAATGTCACATCTGCAGCATACGGTCAATTACCCCTTACAACAACTGTTTCAACGTGCTTCTTTGTGCTTAGTTAAAAAAGGAAAACCCATTCACTCAAACATACTTATAGTAGAAACCAATGAGCTGTTGCTTCTGTTTCCTTCAAATACATTAAAAACTCTCTCCCTCCCCAGCCTTTGCAGAGTTGCAGACCGACATTAATGAGCTTACCAGTGATTTGGATAGAGCTGGCATCCCTCACCTGGACTACCGCACCTACGCTATGAGAGTGCTCTTCCCTGGAATTGAGGATCACCCAGTTCTCCGAGAGCTGGAGGTACATATAAATCTTGCTCTATTAACATCTATTCAAAGCTAAGAACGTTTTTCCTTTTCCTTTAAAGTTACCACATTGGTGATCCAAGGTTTTGTCGCAACAGCAGCAATATGCATATGTTTATCAGTGCTGTTGAGAAGTTTAGGCCCTCGTGTTTAATTTCAGAGTGGAATTAATATCCTCTCCCAGTTGTATTTCAGAACAGAAGCTGACATGTACACAATTCAATGTGGAGATCTTGATCATCAAATAGTTAGCAATAGAAACTTGAAAAAAAGTGACAGCACAGACATTCCCACTGTGTGTGTACACACAATGATCAACTCACCCCCCCACACTTGCACCTTATGCATCATTACGACATTTGGTGCTTTGCATCAGTGACACTGTGTGTCCTTGTGCTTTTGTTGAGGTCTTGAAAATGAAATAAAAAGCCTTACATTTTACTTAGAAAATGTACAGAAAGCTTGTTTGGTTTTACACTATAGCTATGAGGCTAATGAAGCTAACAAGTAAGGAAAGCATGTTCCCCATCAAACTACATCTCTAAATCTTTTCACACTGGCCTCATCTGACTTGGAGTAATCTCTGTTGCAGTCCAAAAAATCTCCATTTTTGTCAATATTTATTTCTCTACATCATTTAACACAGCAGCTGTTCTGTACATTGTCTGAACATTGATAGAAATGCTCTTAAATCACTATGAATTAAATCTTTCATTATTTTTGCATTAATCTTTACATTAATTTACAAATGTTTTTGACTTCTCCTGTAAATGAACCATTTTGGAGATACTTGTTTTTCTTTGTTTTTTTTATGACACTGTATGATATACTGTTATGTATCAAAAGTATATATGTACAGGCTCCACGATGACTGCTACTTTTGTTTTCAGCTGTGCCATGTATTTTTCTGTATATTTGTAGTAAGGGGAAATTTGTGTAAATCAGATTTTGCTGACCTTTTGCTTTAAGCTTATACAGTACCTGTGTCTGTGTGTTTGTGTGTGTGTGTGTGTGTGTGCGTGTTTCTCTGTATAATGCAGGTGTCTGGTAATGGGCAGCAAAACGTGGAGAAGGCTCTGAAGTTGTTTGCGCAGCTGATCAACAACAAGGTGTTTTTGTTGACGTTTATCCGCACGCTGGAGCTGCAGCGCTCCTTCTCCATGCGCGACCGTGGCAACGTGGCCTCCCTCATCATGACTGCTCTGCAGGGCAGGCTGGAGTACGCCACAGATGTGCTCAAACACCTTCTCTCAGACCTCATTGACAAAAACCTGGAGAGCAAGAACCACCCCAAACTGTTGCTGCGCAGGTACACCACAGTACACACACACACCGCAATAATAGTAATGACTTATAGCACCTTTGACAATTGCTCCAAGAGCTTTGTAAAGAAGGAGCAGAAAGTGAGAAACAGTGATTTATAAATCACTGTTTCTCACTTTCCATTAAAATTATTTGTAAAGTCTAAGATTTTTACATTGTGGGCCTGTATAAATATATCGTTTTTTTTGTCAAAATTTTTGCCCGATTTTCTCTTTTCAGTCGCCAAAATTTCGGTGCATCCCTCAAACGTATAACTGTGAAATAGCCCATAATAATTTACTGGAGGTTGTTCAGAGTAAGCAGTGTCGCTAATAGAGTTCCCCAAATGCATAGGCATGCTAGCTGGCTAAATGGTTTTTAACAAAATCCTTTGAGAGTGTAGCGAAAAGCACAGACAATATTTACAGCTTTTGTCTGCTTACAGGTCGTGATTATTTGAATAAATTCATACCCCAACACACAAATAATGTATACATCCCGTAAAAGTCCTTAAAATGGTATACTGAATGAAATCACGCAAGTCTTTATTTTCATCTTAAAACATTAGGGAGTTTTGGAGGGTACACATAAATAACGCGCTTGTGGGCCACACAGAACAAAAAATAGCAACAACAGTTTGTTTGAAATTAATGTTTTCATTCCAGAACAGTAAAGAATGATTATGGTTGTGTTTCTGTTCCTAACAAAATACCGTTTTCACTTGCATTTCTCACAGCAGTTTGGAGCTGGTTATAATTATGTTTAAAGCTGCTGTTTTAAATTACTAACTGACTTGCTTGACGTGTGTTTCAAAGTTATTTAAACATAAATGTAATTCTTCTTTTTCTGGTAAAAGTAATGTTAGACATCGTAGTGCAGCGTAGTCCCTTAGACATTCTGACATGTAAGAAGGTGCTGGTCCATTAACAGCTTTAAAAGACAGATAAAAGAATTTTTAAAATTCAGATTGCATATGAATCACCCCAAACTGTTTATGTACTGTCATATGAATTGTGAAATTTTAACATCAGATCCACTGTTCAGAGAGAACACATAGTCACACTTTTGCACACTCTACTTAAAATGTAGATGCACATGCTGAAATGGAACTGAAGTTGACCAAATTGACCAAAGGGCACATTGTCCCATTATCTCACTCCAGCTTATGGCTTGTAACATTATGGGAAGTAATGAGGAGCATAGCAGTGTTAGGATGTCCTCTTTATGTCTCTCTCTTTCACTTTCTCTCTCTCTCATTCCTTCACTCTTTTCCCCACTCTCTCTCTCTCTTGTCCCCTCTCTCTCTCCATGCTCAGAATGCAGTGCGGTTGTCAGTGTAATTTATTGTCGCTGTTCTGCCGACTCATAAAACATTTAAAAGCAGCTGGGCTTCGGTCCTGTCTCTCATTCTCTCTCCGTTCCTTTTCCCCATCTCTCTCTCTCTCTCTCTTTCTCTCTCTCTCTGCTCCCTGGCTTCTAACTTTCACTCTGTCTCCACATTCTGCTTGTTTTTCATAGGGGCCAGGTTGAAGTGTCAGTCAAGCCAGACCTAGTTTTTCTAGCTTAGCTTCTCTAGTGCTGACTATAAAGTTATACGGATGGGTTAATTGAGGCCCCCAAAGGCCCAGACGCCATTGTCCAGTCTTGTAGTACCGCTTTGAATGAGGGTTGAGTGCATTGTGCTTTGAGCTTGAATAGAATTGCTTCTGGTTACACCATTTGTGTAGCAGTACTGAATCACTGGAATCTTAACAAGCACTCAATGCTAAAGGCCCATGTCTGTGTTTCTCTTTTTGTGTTTCTCTCTCTCTCTCTGTCTCTGAGACAAATGCCTAAGTTTATAAATTTTAATTTAAAAGGAGTTCAAAATGTAGTCATTGTTCATTTGTATGACATTCTGTGAAAGAACAATAATTAGTAACAAACAACAATTAGTACGAAACAACAAAGTTGAAGAATTTGAGCATGAAATAAATAAATAAAATGAACTACAAATTATCTTTGAAATAATCTTCCTACCTCTCTATCTCTCTCTTTTATTTCACCCCCCCACTCTCCTCCCCTTCTTGATAGTTTAATTTGTTAGTGTGTTTTGCAATGCGAGGCTGCTCATTAATAGTCGGAGAAAATATATGCACGCACATAGATCTTAGCAGCAGAAGCGAAAAACATGGATTATGCTGTTATTTAACGTGACAGGCGCGGCCATCTCTTTCATTATCGGTCATCATTAGGAACATAATACAGTAATCCTCCAGCGCTGGGAGGCCCAGCCACCAGCCTAAGAAGAACCATAGTTTTACTCAACAGTTTGTATTTTTTCATCGTTCTTCTTTTATTATTTTATTTTCTTCCAGATTTTCAGGATTATCAATTCAAAATGCTGCTTTTGGGTTCTCACTCTACCAAAAGAAGCAGAATAAAGAATAAGATAGAGCTGCTGCTCTAAAAGCAAATAACATATCTATAGTAGACAATTGTGCAGAAGCCTCAACAACTAACCCTTTGACTTTATCATAGCTTCCATTCTTTTTGAGAGTCTTACTTCCAGTTTTTCAGTGTAATCTGCAAGAATATTTTTCCACACCTGCAGTTGAACCTCCAGTTAATCTCAAACACATTTGCTGATGTAAATCAGTAATCAGTTGAGGTCTGGACTCTTGGATGGTTAGTCCATTGTTCTGAGAACACCAGCAGCTTTTTTGTTTAATTGGCAGAATTGCTTCTTTTTTCTTCTTTTTTCTATTGCCTTTTCTCAGTAACAGTTTCTTGACATCTACACATCCTTTCAGAAATATATATGTGGGGCAATAATAATATATAAATAATATGTGGGGCAAATTTCAAAATCTTTTACATTTTTTTACAACTTTCTCTACACTACACTTTTTTACATCAGCAGGTGGTGATGGGACATGATTGGAGCTAATTTAATTTTAGCCAGACGCTCCTGACATTCCTGCACATTTCTCTGTTGTGTAGATGTGTTTAAAGGGATGATTTGGCATTATCATTGAACATCAAAGTATTTGGAGTTGATTTTGTATCTCACAGAGTTATAAAGTTAGAGGGCTTTAAAGGGGGCTGTGCTGGGAAAAAACACTACAATAGATGCCAGGTTTTAGACAGAGGGCTCAAAGCCAAGTCTAGCTCAGCACAGATGTGTGTATTAATTGACTAATCACTTTCAAAGACCTCTCTCTCTCTCTCTATCTCTCTCTCTCCCTCTGTTGTACTTAAAGCATTCAAAGGAAATAGAAAAGGGAGAAAAAACTTGTTTGTGAAGTTAAAAAAGTAAC